ATTGCAATTAATAAACTATATTGATTTCCCGTAACTTTTGTTTTTTCTCAAATCTATATATATTTTCCGCCCTAGGATTAACTAAGGCGGTTGCCTTGTACCAACCGCCTCCGTTAATGAATTAACCGAGGCGGGCAGCCTTAAGCGCCCGCCTCGGTTAGACGGTTTATTTTAGGCGGCCGTCGGTTAAGGTTGCCCGCACTACAAGAAATAAGGCTTTACATGACGGTTTACTAGTGACATTCTAAAAAAACATCGTAGAATTCTATTGTCTGTGACAGTTTATTCTTGAGGTGATACATCTATGGCGACTGGTTTAGTTGTCGTCACGGTTGGACGTCACAGATCATATTCCCTCATAAACGAAGCAAGATCCAGAGTGTTCCCTAGATAACAAATGTTTTTTCTGTCTAACTCCGAGATATGAGCTAGAGTGAAATATGTGAGCCAAAATATAATTTTATGATTTTTTTGAATTTAACTGGAGCTAGGGACAATTCAATTTAGAGGAGTTGCTTTATATAAATATATAGATACCGACAAGGAAATTCGTTTATTCTATAGGTAAGATAATTTTTTTGTCAGATTTTATTATGCACAGAGAAATTATGGGAATAAAATCAGCCTGCAGAAATCTCCCACCTGAGCGAAATAGAAGTCTAAAAAAACCCGCGTGCAGACTGCAGACCCCTCAGCGGAGCACAAGAAGCCCGACTGAAAAAAGAAAAAAAATCCCTCAACCTTTGCCCTGTTCGCTTCGCTGATAAACCATGGCTGAAAGTACTGTTGCCTGATTTGTTGTGAGAGAAAAATATTATTCGTTGGCTATAAAAGTACGGCTTATAAGCCAAGCGAACACGGCACTTATTATCCCTAAATCCCCCGATGCACAACCCTAGAGCTGCACAACTCGAGCCCTCCGTGTCAGCGCCGCCCTCTCGCAATCGCGCTCGCCTCCCTCGCGCAAGACCTCCCCTCGACCAGTGGCGTGGCGGCGTCCCCCGCCGCCCCTCCGGACTCAATGTTCTTTGGCGCCCCAACACATCCCTCCTCACGCATATGGATTCACCCCGTCCCTTTTACTTCCCCTCTTGATTTCAAGGCGACGACACGCAGCCCGGGGGCAGCGCGGCCCCGAGGCGACGGCACGGACCAAGGCGGCGGCGCGCACCATCCCGTGCGGCAGTGTGCACCCCGAGCTGCGGCACGACCCCCGTGATGTAGACAAGTCCCGATCTTCTGAAAGATATGATAGCGTCGATTGGTGGAGACTCGACGTTCACGATCTAGGCTTCGAACCAAGACTGATTCGGACCCCTGCAACCGTTACACCACTGCTCCGTTGGTTATCAACCACGCGAACGTGATTGACCTCGCTGAGAAGGCTTTCCTGCAAGCGAATCGAGAACACAAGCAAGAACGGGATGAACGCAATTTGAAATTGCAAATAAATACGAGGCTTATGATAACGAGAAAAAGTTCAAGTCTTTATTCGAAAGAACTAATCGCCACAGACAAACAAGATCAAGAACTGGGGCCCTGGTTCACAGCAAGCAGCCTTGACGGCACAGTTGCGGCAAAACGACGTCTGTTTCACGAGAAAATCAAGAACTAAATAAAACCCCAAACCCTAAGGAGAGCGACGGCTGCTATTTATAGAGCCCCGGACGTCACCCCCTGGACGCGCTCCTTAATGGGCCCAAACACGATACACGGTCCAACGGACCAAAAGACAGTGTCGCAGCACCATGGTAGATTCTAGACGCTAACTTGTTTCGACGATTCTCGTTGATTCCGAAGGGCTTTTGACGTGAGACCACTTGTATTGGCTTCCTTATCTAATTAGATTTCTATCCATATGTGGATCGTCAAAAACGGAGCCTGAACGCGCCCGTGTGACCAGTTTTATGACAGACTGGTCCTGGTACCCGAGATAAGCTCGAACTTGATTTGGGCCTCCACCTTGGTGACTCGAACCGGATGAGCTTCGGGCCTCCTTCTCGGTTAGGACATCTTCGCTGATCTTCTCGTCCTCTATCTCCAAGCATGGCCGTATGCATGGAGCTCATGTCCTTATCACCCCAGCCCCTAGCGGCTGCGCATCCGGCCTCGAAGCAGCAGGCCTATGAGTAGGATTCCCCCCCCCCCGCCCCCTCCCTCCCAAATCCATCGATTTGGCTTTGATTTCGATCTCCATGCTGCAGATCCAGTGGAGAAGGGGAGGAGCAGATCTAGGGATGGTTTGGCGCCAGGGACTTCAAGATGGCTCCAGGTGCTTGCTTCAGAGAAGGGGAGGACGAGCAGATCTAGGGATTTGGCTTTAATTAGATGAACTAAAATTATGGTAACCATTATCCCGTTTTATATTGCTCATCGATCTTTTTGGGTGTTCTGGGCACAACTACATGTGTGTGTCCCTAAGATAAACTCATCTAATAAGTCGTCTTCTAAGATGTCATGTATCTATTATAAAATTGATGGTTTTAGGGGTAACACCTCATCTGTATGCAGTGTTTGTTATTTTGTGATTTTAGCATAGTTGTCACCTGCTGTAATTTATTGATCTTATTTTTCTTTTGTCAAAGATAATTTGAGATCAATTCTAGAAGCTTTGGTTTTGTGAGTAATGACTCCTTTGAATCATCTGATCAAGCAATAGAGGTATTGTATTCATCACACTGATTTCCTATATTTCAATTTGCAGTGGTTCTGGCTGTCTGGCATTATTTGTTTCATGCTATTTTCTCTGCTGGATTTTTCAAATACATATGAAATATGAAATTCTTCAACTATCTCAGAAGAATAGGCCACACACAACGTTTGCAAGATATAATTAATAGTGATCTGTCAGCAAACACCCATCTTATTGCGCCCACACAAAGTGGACTGTTTAGCAAGTACTATGAAAGGCTAAAGCAGTATATATATATATATATATATATATATATATATATATATATATATATATATATATATATATATATATATATATATATATATATATATATATATATATATATATATATATAACCTTGCCTAGCTGCTTGCCTGATTGTGACTGAAGTCAAATACACCGTAGATGCCAGTACTCACTACTCAGGCACCAAAGCTCATGATGCTGCATATTTTTTTAGATGAATCTCTCCTCTGCTTTTAAGAAATATTAGCCTGTGTTAATTTTGTTTTCTTATGTATATTCCCTTTTTGGAAAATGCAATTTGCATAACCTTTGTCATTGGACTTCCTGTATTTTCACGGTATAACTGTATCACTTTCACTTGAGAATTTACTTGTGCTCTCCAATTTACACATCATCACCTAAATTTGCAATTTACAGTACTGTTGATTGTACTTCTATTCTGTTAACGAACTGATCAGCTAAGTTCAGCGTTTTCTGATGCGACACTATGCATTCTGTTTGTCCTGCACCTAGAAGACTAACTGTGTTTTCTTTGCAGGTGTTTGATGATGCTATCTCTGAATTCCGGCAAGAGGATCTAGGTGCTCATGTGGTGGCTATTTTCGTTAGTGACAAAAGATTTTGTTGTGCAAGCAAATCATACGAGTTGTGTGTTGTACAAGCCAACATCTTAGTTCTTAGGTATTTGAGTGTAGCTTGGTAATTGCCTTAGTATTTCCTGTGAAAAATTATACAAGTACAGATGTTGATGGTTTCAATGAAAAATGATGAGCAATGAGCTTTGTTCCACTTTATGTGTTTCATGAGTGTCTTAATGTGTGACCAAGGTTAATGTTGATTGTATCGTTAATGCTGTGATGATTTGGCACTAATTTCTAATGTTCTTTTTCGTCACTATGGTTTGGATCTGGGCTTGATATGGGCTGGTTATAGGAGATGGACAACTAATTCATGATGGACACAAATGCTAATTTGTGACGGCTCAATTCGGTCCAACAAATGTATGACGCGGAATACATGATGTTTTTCGTGATCGTCATTGCAGAGTTAACTGTGACGCATTTTCGCTTGTCTGTGACAAAAGTAAATCATCATGTATAAGGGTATTTTTTGTAGTGCCACCTCCATTAATTATCAACCGAGGCGGTCGCTGGACCGGCTGCCCGGCTACCGAATAACGAATAACGGAGGCGGGCAACCAGCCCGGCCGCCTCGGAGGGCAAAAGCCAAGCACCACACATAATTTTTTGTGTAGTAGTGTGTTTTGCGTAGACTTTTCTGTTTAAGGATTATACTATGTTTCTTCATCAGCATAGAAAACAATCTGCTTTTTGTTTTTGTTATTTTATATTTGAGAAGGACTCTTTGTTCTAGGATATATGGTACTGTAATCATAGTAGAATCTTCTTTACTGGTGTTGTATAATTTCAAACCTCGAGAGTGGATATGATAGTTTTCTTTAAACTATCATTTACTAAGATAAAGATAAATACTCTCTCTAGTCAACATTAGTTGACGTTTAGAAAGGAAAAGCGAAAAAGTTGATTTCTTTTTTTTGTATTATATAAATTTCAACTAATGTTGATTGGTTGAGGCCAAAAGGATCATGTCCCCTTACATTTTTCTTGTGGACTTTTGCACCTAACCAGTTCAAATATCGTTAATTATCCATCTACTATTGGTTTAGAAAATTACTCACTGTATGGCCCAGTGTATCGCGGCCTGCAGGGGCCAATAGTGAGATATCGTCGCGAAAAAACTAGGGCCGACGATACACTGGGCCGCCACGCCGCTGGGCGGGACGGGCTGGCCTGCGACGGAGGAAGGCGGCCGCCTAGAGCTCGGGCCGATGGTACCATTGGGCCATCAGCGGAATTAATCAACAAAACAAAAACAAATCGTTGCGACCTGCACTGCAAGGCTGTTCAAACATTCCTTTATACTTTCCTCTCTGAATTTCTGTATACTGATTTCCAAAAATAATTTACTATCAGCACTAGACGTCGATGCTACGGTGATTTCCAAAGACGAAATCCACGATAGAAAGAAACTAGCGTCCGGCTGGATCATCCATCAACCATCATACAGGAGGCGGGGGCAGGTCCAGCAGGAGCCAGAATCCCACGCAGCCGTCGGAGTTGAGGCTCTCCTGGATGGCCAGGAAGTGGAGGCCGCCGCTGGCCTTCTTGGCCGCCTCCCAGGCCTCCGCCTCCTGCGTCGCCGCGGGGGTCTTCTGGTACCCGGAGTAGATGTACCGCGTCGAGACCCCCGCCGACAGGATCAGGCTCGCCCTGCCTGTGTCCACCTCCATCGCGCTGATCTCCAGACCGTTCATCCACGCTGAAATGGAAAGAGATAGAAAACACAAAGATGATACCGTTGGTTTCTGATGATGAGTCATGACTCGACGAACATGGAAGCTAGCTCTTCAATTCAGTTTTACAGTATGCAGTTCAAGTACTGTAACTTGTCCAACACCAAATGCATATCCGGTTGTCATTTCTTCTAGTCCATAACCATGTGAGATCATCTCATATGACATGCCAAAACTTGCCTAGGTGCACAATAATCAATCTTTATTGAGTTGTATATATGCACCGATCATTTTGCACCAAAAAAGTTAAGTTGGGAGAAAGTCAATACCGGTCAATTTCAATGAGATCATAGTTCATAGAGATCAAAGTGATCAGCTGATACGCAAGTACTATTTAATAAGAATTTAGTTTTTTTACCAACAAAAAAAACATCTACTTCTACGCCCCATAATCTGAACATATAGATAGATGCATTCGCAATCAAGCATTAGGCATGAAAAAAAATCACATTTTGAATTCTTTGGGGCTTCAGGCTGCTTGTTAATTTCAATACGCCGATCGAGACAGCACATTGTCATTCTTCTATTGTGGCATTGGCATTGGCGTTGGCTGAATATTTGGTACAGTACAAACTTACCGGCTAGAGGCTTGGCGCGAGATGATTCCACGGCGACACCAGGGACTAGCGTGCTGTCATCAAGCTCGAACCCCAGCAGATCCAAATCCAGCCCCGCACCGAATGCGTACCTCCTCCCCAGTGACTCCACCTCCTCTCTCACAGCTGCACAACAAAGGCCTCATCAATGGCTTAATCAAAGTTAATCGCTGTGGCAAATCGAACTACTGACCGGAGAACGGGAGCTGCACGAACGCCCACTTGTCGCCGAAGAGGTTCTCGGGGAGCGTGGTTGGGAACGGGTTGTCGAGCGCCAGCAGCGGGCGGGTGCCGGCCTGGAACCCCGGGTGTCGGCTGTACACCACCTCGTACCGCTCCCCCAGCCACAGCAGCAGCGACACGCACCGCCGGCTCGGCACGGCCTTCACGCCCAGCTCGCCGCAGGCGCGGGTGATGATGGTCTGCATCTGGGACCGGAAGAAGCGGACGCGGTCGGGCATGGGCACGCCCAGCGCCTCGGACACGGACGACAGCGCGTCGCGGAGCGTCACGCTGTTGATGGCGTTGTTGGGGAAGTAGCGCGTGAACTGGAGCGACAGCGTGGCGTCGCAGACCACGAGCTCCCACACCTTCTTGCCGCGCGCGTCCAGGATCGGCCGCGAGCAGAAGTCCAGCTCCCACTCCCGGATCGACTCCGGGTCCGCGTCGGGGTCCAGGTAGCACACCTCCGCCTGCGGGTCCACCTCGTCCTCGGGCTTGACTTCTTCGTCGGTGATGTCGGCCGCGGCGGATGCGGCGGTGGAGCTCTCGGAGGAGATGGAGCGGCACCGGCGCGACCGTGGCGACGGGCTAGCCGGAACAATCATGCAGCGGGCTGGAGTGACGGGGCGCGCGGGGAGGGAGACCGACGTGGTGGCTCGCCCTGGCGGGTTAGGGAGGGGGTGGCTCCGGCGCAGGGCGAGGCCATGCCCGGCGACGATGGCGGTGGCGGTGGCGGTGGCGGTCGTCATGCCGGGAGCAGGCAGGCGCCCACGGCCACACGCAGAAGCTAACGCTAGTGATGGCGGCCGCGGCGTGAGCCAGTTCATCCACCAAGCAGTGTGGTGATCTCTGTCTTCCGCTTGGGCCGTGGGCCGGCCCAAGATCATGAAGAAGCCCACCTAACGGTAAGGGAAGAGGATAACGACGACCTGATTTGGGAAAGGAAGAAAGAAAGAAAAACGAAAAACTAGAGGGTGGAAGACGACGGTGTCCGGGAGAAAATTGCAATTATAGGACTCCAAACAACACGCTTCGTAATTATAGGACTCTAATCGTCGACTTCGTTAAAATAACCCTGGAAACGTTGGCTTCTTGTTTTTCATGACATTAAGTGTATTTCACCTCTTTTTGAATCTTAATACATGTATTTTGTCCCTAAGATGCCCCTTTTGCCCTTCTGCTGTTAGGAACGTTTCATTCACGTTGGTTGGCTGGTGCAGGGCGCTTTTGGCTGGCTGGCCGCCGCCTGGGCTGGCTGGCCGCCGTGTACAGTTAACTTTGTAGTCATGCTTGTCGGTTAACGACATATGAACATTCAGATCGATTTCAGAAGGGAAAAGAAAAAAGTTTTGTTCTGCTGTTCAGTTTACGTGATAGGCATGCTTGTCATCAGTTATCATGTGGTTAGTCAGAATTCGTGAATCGCATCACGGCCAAATTGTCACTCAGGTCGGTGGAAGTATCGCGCCTTCCTTCTCGACAAAGACGAATATGTCGCCGAGTCACGAGCGCCGGCGCTTTTTCTCTCTTCGATTCTCGAATCGCTGCTATTTCATCTCTGTCACACTCGATCTAAGGTTACGGGCTCATGAGTCCTCTCCGTCGCCACTTACCCCATTCGCAGAAGGCCACGACGCCGCTGATCGCGCTTCTTCCGTCCGCCATCCACGGCCCCGCCTACCGTTCGCGTCTTCTCTCCTCCATGGTCTGGTGCGCGGGCTCTCCTCTCCTCCTCGCGCCAACAAAGTCTCGACAATGCTGCGCATAGAAGGCACAGTTCCGTGTCAATTTCCAAATGTTTTTCGACAGACTTGAAATTTCAGCATGTTCGTGCCAACTTCAAGAACGCAGAACGCGGCCATGAAGCCGTGAGCCGGTAAGCGGCCGGGGCCGGGTCGAGCGTGGTCCGCGGCTGGGTCTGGTAAGGGCACCACCAAGATCCAAGTCGTCGACCTCTTGCCCATCCATGGCGGAGCGTCGAGAACGTGGCGGCGTCGGGTCGATTAGAAGCGTCGAGAAGGGTAGACGAAACGATAGGAGGAGAGAAACGATCAATCGCATGCAAAAGAAGGGCAAAAGAGTCACAAGAGAAGAGAAATACATGTATTTAGATTAAAAATAAATTGAAATACACCAAATGTCATGGAAAATAAGAAGCCAACGTTTCAAGGGTCATTTTAACAAAGTCAATGTTTAAAGTCCCATAATTGCGAAGCGCGTTGTTTGGTGTCCTATAATTGCAATTTTCTCGGTGTCCGGCGTCCGTAGAAAAAGAGCAGAGGGGGTAGGAGGCGGGGAGCAGCAAGAATGGCGTGCTCCACCGGTCTCTGCTTCTCGGCGTCGATTCTTCCTCTTCCAGCCTCTTGTTCTTCTGGCTCCTCCCACTTCCTCACGATCGAGCGTGTGTCCTCTTCTCCGTCCTTGTCCAGGTATGTTCTTGTTTCTTGTTGCCCTGCCTCCATTGAAGCAGTATTGCTCTTGGCCAATTCATTAAAGCTTTCTCGAAATCTCAAATTAAGTTGCTCGATGATGTTTACTATTATTTTTTCTTGTCAGAAGACGAGAATTTTGCATTGTTGTTCCTGAAGCTAGTCAACACGAAAACCATTTGGTGTTGGTTTTTATTCTCTGCAATCTTGTGAATTTACCTTTAACTGCTATAAGTTTGAAGAATATTTGGTTGGAACTCCACATTCTGGTGTATCTGGTTTCCATTCCTACCTATGTAGAGTAGTTACTAGTTACAAGTTCAAAACCTGTTCTTCAGTTACAAACTCTTGGAAAAATTCATTTCGACTTTTTGTGCAACTGTGAAGCAGTTCAACTTCCTCATTTGGGGTTGCAAGCAGCCAGGAGAGCAGTACTTTTGAATTAATATCAGTTGATTTTTACTTAGTTTACTAATAATAGCTAATTCTGGTTGTGGTTGGTGACATCAATAGTACACATTACAACTTAACTGACCTCTGAGTTATATGTCTTTTCTCTCATAGATGGACAATCCAATACAAGCAATTGGGACATACATTATATCGGAGAAGCCACGTTCTGGCCTTTGCTAGTGCAGATGTATGCATCAGGCTTTTTGAGTAGGCCATCTATTTTTTAGGATTGGTAGGACTATGGCATTAATAATGTTTGTTGAACATAACTTTATGTGATTTTGATATTCTTTTTAGAAGTTTAAGCTCAATTTCTTAGGCCTATATCCCAATCAGGATACCTTCTTTAGTGCCAGTTGCTGCATTCTTATTCTATATAAATACATTCTCTCTTGGTAGCTAAACTGGTTTTTTCAAATAAATCAGGCACCACAAGGCAAAAGAAGCTCAGGTGAGAATGTTGTGATGGTTGATCCACTGGAAGCTAAGCACCTAGCTGCTAAACAAATGCAAGAAATTAGGGCCAAAGAAAAGCTGAAGGTACATTGTTGCTGTATTGGAGTGCATCATTCCTTAGATTAAATCAACCATATATGCTAAAGGAAGGAATCTTCATAATAAGGAAAAGTGGAAAACATCTATCTTTTGTTTGGGCCAATAGTTGGTGATGAATCACTGTTTCAGATAACTGGAAACAGAACTAGTTTTTTCCCTGTTCATGTTGTCCTGCAAGTTCCCCATTTCTATTTTTTTTTCTGTGGGTGAAAACTTGATTGCATGTTCTTCAGTTGAGGCATCTAACCTAACTGCAAATGGATATTCAACTTAATATTACCTAGTGGACTGTACATTGCAGTAATGTTCACATGGACATGTATTATTAAATTAAAAAAACTCTACCTGCGGGGGAAATTATTATTTATAAAAGAGATGCTGAAATTCCTTTGGTGATTCAAGAAACATATATGTTTACTATTTCACTAATATATTACTTCCATTTTCTGTTAACAAATAGTTATTTCATCATCCATTAATGGGTGTCTGTTTGTCCTGGAAAACTCATCTGCTGCACTCCCCTCTGAGTCCCAATATCAGTCTATATTCTATTTTTTTTTTTGGAAAACACAGGAGAGCTGCACTTCATTGTATTAGAGAAGAAAATGGTCCCCATACAGCCCACTTATCTCATACGGGACCAAATATGGGAGGTGGTTTGAGCATCAGAATAAAGACGAAAAACTTGAGCCAAAAAACAACACGACCCGACCAAAGCTACAAAGAAAACTAGATTCTACCACCAAGCTCTAAACCCTGCAGCTTCTTAGCTCCGGCTAGGCACCAGAGACTATGCTCATCTTTGAACTCCCTTATAATTGATGTTACCGAAGGTGCAGCACCCTCGAAGACATGCATTTCTATGCTTTCAGATAATCGAAGCGCCCAAGATTATTAGAGAATTCACTCCCCTTCTATGCTCTTTCTCCACCCTTTTCATTGTCTTGCGCCACCAGTTGGCAAAGTTACCTTCATTCTGTCTATATTCTATATTGATGCTTCATTGTGTTTTCTTACTCTTCAAATTTGATCCAAATCACTGTGGTCTGTTTTGCAGAGGCGCCGTCAAGCAGAAGCGATCAACGGGGCATTGGCAATGATAGGACTGACTGCTGGATTGGTAGTGGAAGCTCACACAGGAAAGGGCATCTTAGGGCAGGTACGTGAACTGAATGTAGGAGAAATTCGGTTTTTAGCATATATAAACTTTTTTTTTGACAGAGATATACAAACTTTTATCATAACCAATAACATGACTTGGGAAATGTTATAATGGACACAGTGATGTCTGATGCTAGACAATTATTTACTTTGAACCCAGAATGTTAATTACAGTTTTGCACTACTAATATGTGATCGCGTGTTCATCCATTTCTGCAGCTAGTTGGATATCTGACGGCTATTTCTAGTTTATTTGGGCAATAATACTGGACCATGACTGGAGATTTCTTTTTCACATTCCTTGGCTAGGAGAGCTCTTATCTGAATCTTATTTGTTGGATCCACCCAATTTTTTTGGGAGTTAATCCCAGATGGCTGTGCGAAGGGCAGGCCTGGTGCAGTGGTGAGAGCTGTCTCACTGAGTCACCAGGTCGTGGGTTCGAAGCAGCCTCTCCGTAGATTTTGCGGAGGGAAGACTTGCCTCGGTTTTTCCCTTCCCCAGACCCCACTCATGTGGGAGCCTCCGGCACTGGGTCTGCCCCCTTTTTTAATCCCAGATGGCTGTGCAATAGCACACCCAGACTTGTATCTTTATCAAGCACGATAGCATGGGCTGAACATTAATATACATGTAACACAGTCGTTCTATGTAGCCGAACAATTTCTGATGATAGCACCTGCTAAAGAGCAGTTCTTAATACTTAAATGTGAAATGTTGAAGTCTTTGAGAACTCTTTTCCTTCTTTTGCCAAACCATTGAGCTTGTAAGATGTGGATTGGACATTTGGACTTGAAGTCTCTGACTGTTTGTTTGTATATACTGAGCTGATTACACCTGCAATGGAATGATGAATCTATTGCTAACGTGTGACTTCATCTTACCATGAAAATGTGGGTACCTCAAGTCTTATTTTTGTAAATGTTCTTGTTGATTGATCTTACTATGAAAATGTGGGTACCTCAAGTCTTACTTTTATATGTGTTCTTGTTGATTGAGCTCGAGTGGCAATATTCTGTTGTATTTTTTATTGCCAGAGCCTATGAAGGCTATTGATCGTTGTGGACTAGGATATTTTTGCATGCTGCCTATTACATTTTCAGAGGAACTTCTTATACGTTCTATCCGAGAGGAAAGCACTTTAGTTTGAGACTGATGACTTGGTGAGTAGTTCTTTTTGCATGTTTTCATCATAATATCGTATATATAATGGCAGAATGATGGTCACTTTTGTGTAACATGGAATTTTTTTCTAGCTTCTATCTCACGTGTGATTATATATATCTTGAACTTATTATGAGAAGCAAGTATATCGCCTGTAGAGAAGTACTTTCATAATATATAATCACGATTTTCATATGTACTGATACATTTTATCTTTTTCTGCTTGCAACTATTATAATTAAATACAGGGCCTATTATGGAATATCTGATTTGTCTTTTGTAATAGTTGTGTTTGTAACTGCAAGCTAAAAAACAATCTGTTGAGCATGTACTATATATTCACTAGCGTGGATCGATTTAAGGTCCATGCATGTTAATGAGATAATATGGGAATGGCACAACTTCGAGCTCAACTTGGAAAACTTCAGGAGCATATCATTAGGAATTTGTTGAAGGATCTTTTTTTATGGCAAAGGAGCTGAGCATCAGTGGTATAGATTCACAGCATTTGGGCGCTTTAGAAGGCTGAGCATGTATGTACAGTTTGAATTCCTAACGTTGTGCTCGCTCTTTCACTCCGCACCGAGCAAGCTAGTTTTTGCCTGTTTGGAACAAAATTATTTCATTAGAATTTCAGAAAGCGCTACGTTAAAAAAAAATTTCAGAAGCACAAGTCATCCTGACTTAGCAAAAAAATTTGTCATGAGGTTTGCTTATCATCGGTAAGGTTTCCACCATCTTAGAAAATTGAAAAGTTGGATAATGTACCATCCAACCGACGACTCCAGCTAGAACAAATAATCTCATTTTATTTCTTTTTGGCCCCCCTCGTGCCCAAAAACTATTACTAACACGAATGACTGGATAGCAGTTCATTGTTCTAGAGCCACTACAAAAACTTTGATTCCCTCTTTTTTTCCCCTCATCTAAAAATATCCCAAATCTGGTTTGAAGCTCATGGCGAAACACCGTCCACATGAATTTTGCATTTCAAGAGCAACCTCAACCATTCACACCCACAAATCCAGTGAAACGTCGAGTCCTTGTGAGCCTTTTGTTTTCAACGAAGGGGGCTGGAGTCCTAAATTATATAGGATTTTTTTTTTAATTAAGGCACTCAAAAGAGTGCATCATATCTGATATTCATCAAGAAAAATGACTGATAATACAAAAGATAGACCACTTGACACAAAGGAAAAAATAAATCAAAGGTAGTAGGACCTTTTTCTTCGTTTCTTTTGCCTTGAACGCTTGTTAGCTCAATGTTGCTAGAACCATAGGTCGTAGAAGGCTCCAAGACATGCTAACCAGCGAGGCAGCAACCTGTCCATCTGACTACAGTGCATAAGCTTGGCTTGCCGCAAGAGACGTGGGCAGACAGACCGGCACGGCCAACAAACAATCGTTTGGACCCACACAGAAGTATGTGAGCGCATCATGCAACGGTCTCCACCATTATGAAAGGCAAATAAAAATGCATAGTTTGTTTGCAACCATCCAAACAACAACCCAAATTAAAGATTGGTTGCTTCTATTTCTGTCAGGTGCTACGATGTTGTTGTGACCCTTGGGATTCTAGCCAAGTGAGAGCATGTCCGAACAGCTCTAGGCAAAGTTAGCAAAGGGTTGATATCCTAGGGTGTCTACGATATTGTTAGTGATCCATTGAGCACTTATGACACCTTCAAGTAATGACATTTCAGTCCCACTTAATAGTATCACATCCTATACTCAAGTGAAGTTCAAATAAAATTAAAATAAGTGTGAATTTCTTCCAATCAAAGCGAGATGTCGTAGCTTTCTTTGAAGTAGATATTGAGGGTCCCATGTTTCCATTTGCACTTTTCACATTAGTGTATAACTGAAATTCTCATGAAATATTATTAGCTCTTTATATGCATCGTCGTCTGTTCACAAAAACTAAGGTGGGTGGCTGTTGAATGGTTGGTGAAATGTGATTTTTCTCATTTATGTTATTTTTAGTGTGTTATGCGGTATGCATATATGAGTATATGACAATTGTTAATATGTATTATACTATTATTATCTGCTTACTGGTAGTGACATAGTGTGCTTGCTGTTGCGGGCATGGGTGACCCGCTGGGTACCCATGACCTGAGTGGGCATAGGTTTGAGCATAACATTAAACTCATGATAGGTCATGAATTCTTTAACGGGCACATTTTATGTTCATGGGTATAGATTTGAGTTGGCGAAACCTAGCTAGTTTGTGTCCATTGCCATCTCTAGGTAGACCGGAGCTAAACTGACAAGGCTCGTCCCTTAATGGATACGACCTGGCAAGAGGTCTCGCCGCTTTTGCCTTCACAAAAAAAAAAGGTCTCGCCGCTCAAAAACTTTTTATTGTTTCGAGTCCAATCTAAAACATTAAGTTTATCTATTTTATATTAAAAACTTGCCTAGGCCCGAGCCAAGACATGAAACCCGAACCTGCCCTCTAGGTAGGTCCCTGGACTTAAATTTTAGACCCGAAACTAGTCTGATTTTTGCAAACTAACTTTTGCTTACTCACTCCATTCAAAAAAAAAACAACATTATGGGATGTACGCTTATATAAAATATTAGCAACATTTGTATCACTAAATAAATTTGTTATAAAGATATATTCAGCTATTCATCTAATGGTGAAAATTATACATAATAAGTATTAATATTATTATTGTTTTAAAAGTGTAGAAGATAGGCCTGTCCCACCTAACTTGGAATTCCAAAAATACCCCTGACAGTCCGGGCCTGAGTCGTCAACTCCTTTTCCGCTCAAAACACTTCCCTGCCCTCCACCCGCTCCCTCCCTCTTCTACTCTGGCCGCCGCTCGAACTTAAACCCTAGAGCCGCAGCCCCGGTCGCTCTAGCGACCCCAAATCTCAAATCACCCGGAGGGATCTCGCTCGCGAAGGCAAGTACGCTTTAGATCCCTCATTGCTTCTGGTTCCTAGGCCAGCGCGCCTCGATTTTCTTCTCCGTTTTGGTCTAATTCGTGAGGAATTTGGGTTTCCTCGTTGGTGCTTGGTTCCACTCGCCTTGGAGTGGATTTCAGTGACTTTTTTTGTTCAGATTGTTTCGCTCTTGCAGGCTGAGCTCATGGCTCGCGTCTACGTTGGGAACCTGGATCCGCGTGTCACGGCGCGGGAGATCGAGGACAAGTTCCGCACGTTTGGGGTTCTGAGGAGGTGAGATGCGGTGCCTTTTCTGAGATGCGGTGCCTTTGCTCGAAAGTGCTAAGCTTCGTTTTTTTCTTTATTGATAGCGGAAGCGCTAAGGTAGTCTTTTTACGGTTATGATGTCCCCCGACTTGCCTCTGTGGTACTGTTTATAGCATATACGACTTTACGCCGTTGCTTGCTAGTTCATATACATTCATGCTAAACAATTTATGTTTTGAGTATGATAGTTTCGTATTTAGCATAGTGCCAATGGTAAAACAGCAATACAGAAGCCTGTGCTCCACTTAGTGGTCATGTGATATGATATGATAGAAATCAATAAGGAAACTGTGGTGCAGTGACTCAACGCCGATGCATTTGTGTATGCTTTGTTTGTTTGTTGAGTAGAGCAAGTTTTAGTAGAGTTGTCTGTTTCTTGACAATCTCGGAGTATTTTAGTGATGCATATGCTGTTTGAGAAATAGAAGGGAAAAGCAGCAGTACTATGCTCACATTAAACTACAAGTACATGAGGCCTAGTTTGGTAGGGCTTGGGCTTCTGCATGATAAGTTGGCAAGTGCAGTTTCAACTTACCAGTACATATGGTGCTCAGTCTTATCTAGTTAGCCTCACTAATAGACAACCACATCTTGTTCGTACTTCGTAGTATCAAGCTCAAGACAACTAACATGTCTAGCTTTAAAATTTCCACTTTATGTGTTGGCTGCTTCCTTAGTTTCTTGCAGACTAATTTGAGCTTCTTTGTTTTAAAGGCTTGTGAGTTGTTATTATCCTTCGTTTTTTTAGAAGAAAGGTAGGACATCTTTCTAAAGATTAGAGGGTATCTTTCTGAACACTTGTGATTTAATCCAGACATCTAGTACGCTTGCAATTGTGCAAATTATTTTTATGCTTCATGTTGATGATGGATTGAAGATAACACAGTAAAAATACTGGGTGAACATGATGACGAGTAAGAAACAACCAGTGAGATATGTAGAGTAGATTGAAGTTGAATTTACTATGATAGATGGAAAGATGGAATCATGCCAGTGATTATGAAGTGCATCCAACATAACAATGCTACCTTCTGACCTGGAATTTTTATGTCTATGATGTCAGAATTGACAAAATTAACTTGGAATCATATTTCCTCAATACTATGGATATCTTAAGACTGGATGAAATACTTCAACCTTTTTCTTTAGTTGGTTGATGCCAATATATTTACTTCTGTTTGTAGTTGAATTTTGACAGGTTTAGCTGTTACCCTATACAAAAGTGCCATCTTTTTTACTTTGGTTTCTCGAAAAAGTATCCTAGCCATCCGTCTATGTAGGTTTGGTTGAATTTGTTTCTGCATTTGCATGCTGAGGTGTTGTTTATCCCCTGTTTGCTGTTGATTAAGATGATACTAAGTTAAACGTGTTCATAATAAAATTGTTCTCCATACCGTTTTAAAATGTTTTTTTTTCTGTACAATAGATTATTATAGTTTATATGCATTCACTTCGACTGATTTGTTCTTTCCATGCAGTGTATGGGTTGCTAGGAAACCACCAGGGTTTGCCTTCATTGACTTTGATGACCGCAGGGATGCACAAGATGCCATTCGTGAATTGGATGGTACTTAATAACTATGGATGCCTATTTATTACTTTGTAGTGTAGAGAGCTTGCCTTTTCCTGTAAGACTTTGTACAAGTAATTTATGCAGTTTTCTGATAGTAGGTTGTTCCTTTGTAAAGAATGTAGATGTGGCCCTATTAAATTACTATATGTAAAAAACTATCTTTTTTTTTTCTTTTTAGTTACTCACTTATTAGTAGATTTGAAAAGGCTTATAAACTTCAGATAATAGAATAAAAGCTTTTGATTCACAGCAATTATCACCCTGCAGTAGGAAGTTGTGCCTCAAATGAAGTGGTAGCTTATGTGATGTCAAGATGTGAAAGATATTTGTGCTGCCTGATTTCTAAGTTCTCATTGTTGGTCACTTCCCAATAAGTTTGCTTGTCTAAACTTTATTATATCCATCAGCGAGTTTTGAGTTCTTTGTCTTACAGCTGGAAAGTAATAGCCATATAGTTTAGTATGCTTGAAGTTATCAAATGTCTCTGCTTTTATTGTGTTCTGTGAGTTGAGTTCATGAAATGGGGGAAAAGCTGTCTTTGGCAACTATGAAATTTTTGTGCCTGTGGTTGGATACATAGCAGTTGCACTTTTACCAGGAATAGGAATTAGTATCCATTATATCAACTGACATATGAATACTAAGTCATGTCTATAGTTATAGCAATGCTGGGATGTTGGATATCTTGGCACTACTGTACATTGTCAATGCATATGTATCTAATAAACAATATCTTACTGACAATGGAGCAGGTACTCAAGTCCTTGTCCTGCAATTGCATACAACCGCAATACTTTAATACAAGGCTTGCTTTGCAAGAAAGCCATTGAGTTTGTTTCAAACTGCTAACATGCTCCGATCCTGCTTGATAATGAATATTTCACCCATTTTTTGTATTTTGCACTAGTAATTGAACGAAGTTTTGCACTTTAGCTATTGTGAACACATATATTTCAGCAATTTGTGAATTTATGCTTATGGTTATCTTGTTGATTTGTGCTTCATAGGTAAGAATGGTTGGAGGGTTGAGCTGTCAACCAAAGCTGGTGGTGGCCGTGGCCGAGACCGTAACGGTTCTGATATGAAGTGCTATGAGTGTGGTGAATCTGGCCACTTTGCACGTGAATGTCGCTTACGGATTGGTTCGGGAGGCCTGGGTAGTGGAAGGCGTCGCAGCCGAAGTCCTAGAAATCGCAGCCGTAGCCGAAGTCGCAGCCGCAGCCGCAGCCCAAGATATCGAAGGAGCCCAAGCTATGGCAGAAGGTAATTTGCTAATGACGCCAATCCATCACATGCATTCATCCAGTAGTTTTGATTAAGGGTTGGGAAACATCACCTAGAAATTCTAAAACTTCTGAGAACGAAGCAAAATTTCGAAGATTAACACATTCTTTATAACCAAGGGAGTATCCAGTAATGATCGCAAATGCACTGTTTACAGGGTTTTCTGGACATCTCCAGCTTTGTGTTTGAGGCTAGTCATTGCCACATTTCCCCTTTTTTCACTTTTGCTCTATGATTAAAAGTAGCCCCTTTACACTGATATAAATACATGCAGCAAAAATTAAGATGGCATGTTGAAAAAAGAAGAATGATGACGAGAGGTTACACCTAGAGATGTTATTTGTAGTTAATATCTACATGACTAGATGTGTTCCTGATTTGATGGATAGTATTTAATCAAACATTCAACTATGCATTCTAACTTCTGAGTGTAGTTCTTTATCTTGCATTGGTACAATATGATCCAATGCATTCTTATCCCCCTCTCCCACTTGTTATAGCTTCGTTGTGAATCCAAACCTAATATTTGAGGGGAACATTTTGAGAGACTACATAAAATACAGATCAATGTCTTCTTGCCTCGCTAGCAGCCTTTTTAATGGATTATTTTGTGTTAAACCTGAAAACAAATGTTGGGTTTTTCAGGAGCTACAGCCCACGAGATCGTTCTCCTAGGAGGCGAAGTTATAGCAGGTCGCCACCAGGATCTCGTGCACGGAGTCTCAGCAGGTCGCCGCCGCTGCCGCCGCCTCCTCCCAGAAATAACAGCAGGTCACCACGGGCAGCCCGAGACATCAGCAGGTCACCACCACCACCTCCTCCCAGAAATAACAGCAGGTCACCACCGGGTGCCCGAGACGTGAGCAGGTCGCCGCCACCACCTCCTGATGCCAGAAGAAGCTATAGCGGATCCCCAGGTCAGCAGCCCCAGCACGATGAGTCCCCATATGCCAATGACGCCTAAGATTCTTTGCTGCCCCAAGATGCTGGAAAATGCTAGGGGCCCAGCATGTTTTGCCCGCGTCGGTACAACTGTAATTCTATAGGATCCAGTCTGAGATTTTGTTCCAGTGTTTTGGGTTTCCCTTGGACACACCGGTGCTGATACAGTTATGGAGGCAGGAGCGTAACGTTTCTGTTTTAAGTATTGACTGGATGACTTTGGGCGCTTGTAGTTGTCAAGACAAGACCTGGTTCGTGTTAGATTTGTATTACTACTTTGCATTTGAATTTGGACAAAGTGTTTATCGTGCGCTATGTTGATGTTTCCGAAGAGACATCTTCCTATTCGCTTTTTGGTCGGTGATTTCATTAAGGGCGTGTGACGTGATAGCAATATCAAGCAGCGAGAGGATGGAGGTTGCTGTTTGGGTTGCCGCTGACAGTAGAGCATCACCTACCATTAAACTGTCGCCACTCGCCAATATTTCATCCCTGATATATATAGGTAGTCACCAATGTTTCATCGTTCCAAACATAGTGGGAGATGCAACTCTCCCAATATCATGCCCCAACATCAACTGCCTTGTTTTTTCTCTCTTGCCCTTGCTTGGGCATCTGCCTTGACACCATCTACCGCATCTAGCAGGGCACTTCAAAAGGAGAGAAAAATTCCTATTTGATATTAGAAACATGTTTGCTTTTCTATTTAACACTTCCAACCATTACTTTAGAGTGGAAACGCTGTTAATTCCAGTGGTAACAGAAGCAACAAAAAACGGGAAACATAACAGTTGAAAATAAAAATGCTAAAAAAAGATAGCAAAAGGAAATGTCACGATTTAAAAAAACAACAAGGGCGAAATGGTCTTTTCGTTTGGGACTTAACACCGTTCACAGACAGATAGAAAAAAAGGTGACAAATAGAAAAGAATTTAAATCTGGGTGCTAAATAGGAAAAAAAAATTAAATTTGGTTGTCAAATAGAAAAGCAAAAGTTTGTGTCAAACAAGAAATTTTCTTGTGACGAACCCCACGTCCCCACCCGCCCACGCTCTCGTGCTTGACGGTGCATCGTCAGCTCTGTTGGTATCAAATCGACCCCACCAAGATCCATCGGTGTCGATTCTACCTTGTCCGAGACCTGTTGGCGCGCCCAAATCAAGCTAGAACTCCAGCCGAATCGAGGTGGAGTTTCACTGCCCTTCTCTCTGCCACCATTGAGGAAGAATTCCAGCACCCAACACTCCGCCGGGCGCCGAGGAGACGAGAGATACGGAAGAAGGGAGGAAATACAGAAAAATAAAAAATAATTTATTTTTATCTTTTTATACAAATTATCAAGACTTTTGGAGCCAAACGCCCGAGGCTAGTGATGTAGGAGCCTAGTTATAGGTCGTTTTGTAAGGCTGTTTCTGTGTAATGTTGCTTAAACTATATAAGGTCCTGTTCAGCTGGCTGAAAAAACGACTGATATTGATGCTGATGTTAATGTGTTGTCAAAGAAAAATATTATTATTTTGCTGAAACGGTACGACTGATAAGTTCGAGCGAACAAAGACCTAAGTTTCCGCTATTTGAACTATCTTGGTAGGGGGTGTGCCTTGGGCACGTATGGACTTGTAAGAAAACTGAAAATGCTTTCTATAAAAGCGGGACCAATGGTCTTTGGTCTTATAATACAGAAAAATAAATAAATTTTGTTGACCTATAATTGTTATAGCACCGTTCGGCTGATAGAATTTTAACTGAAACTGACTTAAAACACTGTTCTGGTTGAATTATTGTGAGAGAAAAACACTCTTCCGGCTGAAAAAAAGAAGTCGAACAAGCCGAATATAGGGTAAGTCGAACGGGGCTAATAGAGAGAGGCAATCCAGGCGGAAAGCTCTCCCCTCCATAGTTTATTTTTTTTTAAAAAAAATAATAGAGAGGGGAGATTGGTGAATGGTGATCTACTTATCTGTTAATCTGTATATAGTCGTTCACGGGTCGCGCGCCATCGTTCGTGCTGTTGAGCGAGCGGGGGCCTCCCTCTTGCAGGAAAGCTTGCCGCATTTAGGAATTTCGTGTGCGCCGGCGTCGTGCGTTGCGTGCCACTTGTCGGGAAAAAGTCGTGCACGGTGGGGGGCTGGGGGTACACTTGAGTCACGTGGAGGTACGAACAGCAAAATTCACCTGCAGCAAAATCAGCTTGCCGCATATGAACAGCAAAATTCACTATGGCAGTGATGCATATGAACAGCAAAATTTTCAGGTAGCAGATGTATTCAAGGAAAAGGATAACTCTAGATGGTAATGTACAATGGTGGATTACAGTGATGGTGAGGACTGAGAAGGATTACAAGAGTTCCATGCGAACGCGATTGAGTTCGTCCATCGAACACCTACACAATTATTCATGCTACACGGAGCTCGCGTCCCATCCCATGCATTCAGAATTTCAGATCCAGAGCTGGCAACCCCTCGATCAAAAGAGAGAGGGAGAAAAAAAGGTTCAGAGTCGGCAGAGTTGGCAAAACTAAGGAGCCGAGCCGTCGCCGGGCAGGTGGGGAGGGCCGTCTGCCGGGGATCGCCGTCTTCTCTCCTCAACAGCAGGACGGGACGACGCCGTCCGACGCCGCGTGCGCCGACCCCGCGGGCGAGAAGCACGCCCCTCCCTCGTGCTCCAGCGCGTCGTCCTCGGCCTCCGCGGAGCAGCGCTTGGCGAAGCGGCCCTTGATGCGCGGTCGCGTCTCGGCGTACGCCTTGCGGGACGCGTAGCGGATGGTCTTGTCGAACCGACGGTTCTTGCGCTTCTCACGGTACCGCATCAGCCGCGCCTCCCGCTCCTTCCCCCTGCTCACCACCGCCGGCACGTCGGCCGCCTGCGCGTCCGGCACCACCGCCACCTCCGAGGACGACAACTGTAATAACAAGGGATTAAAGGCGTCTACATTATCACCACCGTCCACACAAATAAAAAGGGAGCATTTTTTTCGAGGAATCTGAAAGAAACCATGGGTGTGAAGGATCCAGGCTTACACTGTGGTTCATGGAGTGTTCGGGGTAGAAAAAGCTGCCGGCAGCCATGTCCAGCTCGGGCAGCGCGACCGGCACGCCGATGGCCTTGACGCCGTCCATGCACCGGGCGAAGTCCAGGTCGACGCCGAGGTAGGCGTCCGATTCCGCGAACAACGTGTCGGCGGCGGCGGCGGCGGCGCTGTCCTCGTGGCTGTTGTCGGGTTCGGCGAGCAGCCACGACGCCGCCTCGGCCTCGTTGCTCCCGTCGTCGTCGTCCGCCGCTGCAGCTTCCCCCTGAGCCTGGGCCCCCGCTGCGGCCGCGGCGGCGAATGCCGGGGACGGGAAGGGCTGCGGCGCGTCGGCGAGCGCGCCGAAGAAGGGCGCGACGGGGAGGCGCTCGTGGCGGCGCGCGAGCAGGTTGGCCGAGTGGATGTCGGCGTCGCAGGCGGCGCAGAGCGCGGCGGCGTCGGCGCGGCAGGTGACGGCGGCGGGGGCGTGCTCGCAGACCTCGCACAGCCAGACGCGCGCGTGGCGCGACCCGGCGCCGTGCGCCCGGGCGTCGCAGCCGGGGCACAGGAACGCGCCGTCCTCGCGGCAGTGCAGCCGCGCCGGCTCCGCGGCGCACGCGTCGCAGGGGCGCGCGCCCATCACGCTCCAGTACCCCACTGCCGGCTTCTGCTCCAGCTCCACCGCGGTGTCCATGCCTCTGATTTCTGTTCCGGGCGTCACGAGAGAGATGCTGCTGCCTGCTGGATGCTGGTGTCACGGACGGGCTCTCGGGGGGTTTGCGTTGGAAATGGCTGCCCTCGGGGTGTTTGTTGGTGTGTGCCCGCCGCAGCGGGCCTTTCGAGGGGTCGGCCAGCACGTGGAGGGGCTAGCGGCCACGAGACGGGCGGCCAGTGGACCGGCGTCCCGTCGCTGTCTCGGGGTTGCTCCTTCGCTTGTCCGACGATGCTAGATGCCAACTAGAGTTGACTGTTTCCAACACAAGACATGTTTCAAAACTCAAACATAAAATAGATCTTCAACATAATACTTCTAGCATCTAATAAAGTAAATATATAAAAGATCCATTTTTATGTTAGGAGAGACATAATCCAAATCTGAGTATCACTCTTCTTAAGACCTATTTGCAGAAAGAGTTGTTTTTTAAGTCTTGTGGTTGAAGAAGACTAAAAATAGGTATTGAACCATTTATTTGTAGCGCTATCAAAAAACAAATGTGTCTTATATTTTGGGTCGTGGTTGTTAGAGACAGTAAGGGCTTCCCCAACGCTATGCTTTTCTTTGTAGCCCCAAGTGCATTGTGGGATTGGATACATACTTGTCATAGTGGTTTGCAGAAGTTTTATTGAGGAGAGAGAAAATGGTACATGCTAAAAAAAAGAGGGAGAAAAATAAAGGTGAGGGCATGATAAAAACAAAAAGTTTCTATACCAACCAGTGATAATTTACATTATGAGAATAGTAGTCCCAATATTTTCTAGCCTATATAAATCACTTTATTTGTACTAGAACTATTAAAAGTGTTAGTCTCCCTTAGTGATGCCCTAGATGTCACTGGAAAAGGACTTTCAAACTCCATGCCAATGTAAGATGCCCACTAATAAGGCCCCGTTTGGATAATATGGAATGGCTTTTTTGAAAAAATCTACATGAATCGTTAGCTTTAATTTGTATAAGAAATTAGACCTGGAATATTTCCTGACCTGAATTATGCTAACCCAACAAGCCCTAAAGATTTTCTCTTAAGTCTGTTGTTTTTGCATTGGTTAAACAGTACCACCTTTCCTCGTCAACGTAAAAGCATAATCCAAACGCGAAAAGTCTTGGCGTCCTGAGTTTCTCTTGCACTATAATATTAGTTACTAAATTAACACTATTTTAGGTTACCCAATAAATTTTATTGCACGCTTCCTAACTATCAGATGCCTGAATTATTTAGTCCGTTCAGGCGATGCTTGTGCACTGGCCATGGCTGCTCAGCGCATCAGACTCCCCATGCGGCACAGGTCTTTCAACGGCTGTAAAGCATCGCCTGAGAGGGAACTAGTTTTCAGACACATGTAAATTAGCATCTCCCATTTTGTTGATCTAACTTTTGCACGTTAAATATGTACGTAGTATATACTTCGATTAATTGTTTGTCGAAAGTTATAAAGTTTGAAGTTTTTAAAATAAAAATGTGTGTTAACAATGATGGACTGTAGCATACTCGATTCTTTTGCTGAAATCTAAGGTTCATCTAGGGCGCTTGAGTGTTTCGTGAATGCCTGGTGCTCAAATTTCCTCGGTACATGCCATGCATTTGGTCAAACCAAAAACCTCAGTTTAGTCCTTTGGTCTATTGAACGATTCATTAAACTAAAAATAAAAACCAAATTTCGCTACATAATTCTCAAGATTGGTCACATTCTAGTCCATTCTTAGTTTTCAAACGATCTTACATAGGTAAACATAATAGATGTTGGGCTCGTTATTGTCCATTTTGTCAAAGCAGAAGCAGGGGATCAATGTGGAGAGCTCCGACTAGGGTTGAATAGCGCGTGAGGGGTCATTAGAGGTGAGCCATTGGCGGTGCAAATCTGATCAACGGAGGAAGGTCGAAGACAACAAAGTCAAGCATGTTGGTAGGTCGTGTGGCATAGTGGACAACAACGAACTTCCGTATGCCATCAACGTAGGTGTTCTCCCCAGAATACCCGTAAGGCTCCTCTAGAGAATCACCCTCTATCTCACCTAAAATATTTCTATCCGTCTGATCTCACGTCGAACGGCCTAGATCGCTTGGAGCAGATTCCGCCGTAATCGGCTTCTCATGCTTCTCGTCCACTTATCCAGCTTCTCCGCTGCTTTACCTCAGCTTCTCCGACTTCTTGTCCGAATCCAGAGAAGAAAATATATACTCAGCTTCCTGCTTCTCCCTTCTCAAAAAAAAAAAAAACCGCCGGCTTTCTTCTCTCATCCTCCTCCCGACCCTGGCCTCGACGAGAAATTTCAATATTTGACCCTCAGTTCGCACGCCCCTCTAGATTTGACACTCAATTCGTAAGCCTTTCAAAATATAACCCTATGCACGCCAATTCTTTGAATCTGAGGGATTTCTCTCTTTTCCTTTCCTTTCCTAATTCTAATATATCTTGGGCACTGTTTGGGGCATAGGAAAAGACCTTTCTGTCCCTCCCTCTAAAAAAAAGGAGCCTGAACGTCCGCTCAGGCCGTGGGCGCGCTCGCTACTGTCCTTCTGGGCGCCCCCTCCCCAGATCTCACGGTCCCTTCCTCAAGGGCCGTTCTCTTTTCCTAAACTACACAGATCTAATATATATTTGATCAAAAATTAATGTAAACAAATTACAAATTATAATTAAATTTTAGGATAGAGAAAATTGCCATCCAGATAATTTAAGAGTGCAGGTTCACTGACAATAACCATCCATACATAAGAGGTTCTCTAATAACCATCCATACATAAGAGGTTGTCTAGACAAAATTACCATCCACATATGAGTGGTTCATAAGACAAAATAACCATCCAGACATAAGTTCACATAGACAAAAGAACCATCCAGCCTAGGAATATAGAACCATACAAATGACTCATAACATGGTTCTATGGTTATTCAAGCATAGTTTTTTCCTTCAAACCCAGGCACTTTCTTGGACTGCTCACAACATTACTTGTTCCTTCTTCAGTTTGACTGAATAACATAAAAAATGGAATGGTTCAGTAGATGACCAAAGGTAAGTATACACATGTTTAATTGGGCTTGTATTGAATCATTTTACCTTCTTGTCACAGCTCTTGGGCTTGTAGTGATATGATTTGTCCCTTCTTGTTTCACCATTGTTAATTGCATTTGCCTAAAAATAAGACTACAGGTTTAGCCCAAAATAAGAGATTGTACAGATCCAAATAAATGATCAGTTCATAGAATGTCACCTTCTTGTAACAGGTCCAGGGCTAGTGTTCATTTCACTTGCCATGGTTGATGCCACAGGTCTAGGACTATTGTTCACTAGATTTTCTTCCACATTAACCTTCTGCCTTTTGGATGGACTTAGAGCTACATCGCCTTTTGTGCAACCAGCAGGCCTACCTGCTTTCCCTTTCTTGGCTCGACTTTTCCTGTAAATGTATAATTGAGATAAGTTAAAATATAAAGCAAGTATGGGTTAGTTAAAAAAGGCATACACATCTACCTCTTCTTTGTTCCATTGAGAGGGCACTTTGGAGATGTCGTCCTATGGCCAAGACCCAAACAATTTTTACACTTAACCTGCCACATGCCTTTTCCTCTGGCGGGCTTGTTTCCCTTTGTGGCAAAACCTCCTAAATTATAGGGCCCACATGCACCTGTCACTGTCCAACGACCTTTGACATCTATGCATATGTTCCCGGTAACTTAATAAGACTGTCGGGTGTCCTTGGGGAACCCCGAATCATCCACGATTTCCAAGCAGGATCACATTACAGAGTCATTACAGTATTACAATAGTTTATTCAAATAGTTACACCAGAGTAAAAACAGCGGAAGTCTTACAATAACATAGTTTACAAACCATTTATTTCAAACCATACAACTAAGTTTGAAAATAATACAAACCAAAGTAGTGGAGTGGCATTATAACATATTACAGAACACACAAATAAGCTGCCCTGCCCAAGGGCCACACATTTACTTATCGTCATCGCACTGAACAACAGTCATGCAGCACGATCCAAAATAGATCTGCTCATGAGCCTCACCTGCAATAGGGGTCAACGAACCCTGAGTACAAAAGTACTCAACAAGACTTAACCGAAATAAAACTAATAAAACTCAGGAATACAGACTCATGGGATTTAAGGTATGGCTTTAGCAATAATCAAAGTTCTTTTGCGTAAAAACTTTTTAATAAAATTCTTTATATCAACATTAAAACTTCATAAGATCATATACAAAGTCGACACGATCCGCAATGAGATCATGAAACTTCATAACCAACACCTTCACGCACCATCCTCAAGTTCCAGCTTATTTATTACTACGGTGATGAACAAAGGAGTTGAGTCTCCATAACCGAGGAGCAACGACGATTCGAACCGATTAAAAACCCAGCTGGGAATTCTAGACCGCACGACATATGCAGGTCCTCGACTTACATATATCAACCTACCTCGGATCCTCTAAACAAGAATGGGTCCACGCCACCCAAGAATACAATGACTCCACCAATCCAAATTTCTATTGCTACGTGGGTACACGCTATTCCCGCCATCTCTCCACTTCCAAAGGCGCGAGTAGCCATTCTCGTAATAGAATAGCCAAGTTAAGGCTTACCGGAGTATGTGGTTAGTACTACAAAGTCTCACCTCATACAATTCAACAACGGTCGGACCTTAATCGACATTGTGGAAAGAACCCGCTCACAAGACCTCCATGTCTTGCGGCTCCCATACACCGAAGTCCGCCTTGGTCTAGATTTATTACTCCACATTCCCATATCACATGATAACATAAGTAACTAAAGATCCATTTAAAACTCATGAGATGATAGGTAATCACCCGACTTTCATCGTTCTAAGCATAGCTACAAAAAACTAGGCATATACTGAATTTAAAACTCGGTAATATGGTAAATATAGAATAACAAGGTTGGTAATGTACCAATTTGATTTTTCACTTGACTCCTAATCACTTAATGCAAGAAAAGAAGCAAAA